AATGCTCAGAATAATATTTCTTTACTGACACTTGTCTTCTTTTGCTTACATTCTGGCACAGGTTCATAGAGAAAACAAGCGAGCACTTAAAAAAAAAGTACTGCATAAGCAAAATGTAACCCTCCAGAATTACACAGCCCTAACAAATCAGCTGTTTACAATTTCCCAGGTTTCCCCCTCTACAGATTATTCTCAGTATTATCTCCTCTTCTACGTAAGCACTCAAAAGTACAGCCATCCCATCAGGCATCCCACAAAACCCATGGCATTTTTTACAGCTTCTGCATTTGGATATTTTCACCATCTTCTATGAACAGAGAAAAGGTTTTAGCTGAGAAAGACAAATGGAGAAGGCACCTCAGGCTTTGGAATTTGGAGAGAATATTGTTTAGATGTGCGTAAAATGTAAATAACAACAACAAAAATCTATGATGAAAAAGCCTTATGGTCCATAGCAATGAACCATGCCTGCTGCAATTTGTCCACTCTTGCCTCTCACCTCAGTTCATGTATCTTTGTCGAAAACCTTCAGCCCTGGCCTAAATCTCACAAACTATATATTTGCTTTGATAAGCTTGGAGAGAAAAAAATCCCCACACATATGACATCTCCATATGTGATAACACATTGAGGTTTTTGGACCCGTTCCCAGGATGTGTTTATTCTTGTCTGTGTGATAGATTAGACGTAATTTTCTTTCTTAAACAGCTAGGTGCAATTAAGAGGTCTCTGATGATGATCTTAGGTACAGCTCAGATAGAGAATAAATCCTGTGAGTAAACTCTACCACCCTGCCAAGCTCACACATGATAGAGGGAACAGACAGGGTTCTTCTCCAGGGGCTAGAATTTCCCAAGGACGACAAACATGCATTTCACTGACGGCACTGCATGGGGAGGATTATCTTCTGCTAAGTCTATCATCACGGGGCTCTTCTTAACACTTATCTAAAATGAGTTTAGATAAAAGCCATTGAAATGTTCCAGAGGTAAACTATGACCTGACTAAAGCCACACTTGAGTTAAAAATATGTTCTAGGAATTTAGGTTCAGGGTAAAATAAAAATAGCAGATGAATTTCTAGTGGCTACAGGAAGAAACCAGTGTTCTTTTAAATCTTCGACCTCCTCATAGACTGCTACCCCTAGATGTCCAACGATCACCCCAAATTCAGTCTGTCCAGTTCAAACCCATTGTCTTCCATTTCTGGCCCTTAGTAAATGGTGAGTAAATACACTCTTCAAATGTATTTGCCCAGAAACCTTGAAAATCACCCCCCAAATTCCCTCTCCCTTAATCTTCAGGACTGAGACATTGCCAACTTCTGCTGCTTCTATTAGGTTGAACCATATAAACTTGCCACTATTTGATCATTCGTGCACAGAAAACAGTAATCTCACACAGGTCGACCTAATATATAATTAATTCTTCCTTCTCTTCATCCCCTCAACAATTTTCTCATTAAAGGGCTTCCTCTCTGATCTGACTTCTTACAACCACCCTTTAAGGTCCTTCTGCCCCAGTCTTGTGTTCTACACAATCTTCAGTGGTTCTTTCTCTTCACAGAAATGCAATCACGACTTACCCCTTCCTAAAAACCTCCAAGAGACCCCCCACAGCCTTGATGACAAAGTATATTCTCCTTAAACATAACATACACGGCCTTGTTGACTGGCGCTGTTTCTTTCTGTGTTGGGTACCATGACTCCCACACTCAGGGCTGACATTCTGCTTAATTCTTTGTTGGTGCACAAATAGGTCATGGTTGTTGGCTCATTTTCTGGAATGTTCTCCCCTCCAAATCGCCAAACCCCTTTAATTCTTACTCATCTTTCAAAGTCATCTTAGTTACGATATGCTCTGGAAAGCCTTCACTACCCACCCTCCCCCAAACCCAGTGGGGGTTAGAGTTCTGCCCCCCAGGTTTGTCTCCTGTCCACAGCAACATCATATACAAACATATGCCCTTCGTCCACTATGCTGTACTTTTCCTGAATACAAGCACCTTATCTTATTCATGTGGGCATCCCCAGGGCCCAGCACAGTGCCTGGCACAGAATGTGTGTTTAAGAAAATGTTTAATGAAGCTGTAAATGAAAGAATTCATTACAGTGCTACAGAGAGAAGTGTGAGGAGTTTGGAAAGGTCATATATTTATTGAAAAAGTAAACTTTGGGGTCAGTGCATTCCTTTAAAAGATCAACAACTGAAATTACTGATAAAATTTTTCTGTAACAAATACTGACACACCAGTGTCTATTCAACAAAGGATTTCTAAGCATCACACAATGGTTATCTTCCTAAAAAAGCTTCACTTACTATACCCAATTCCTAAGACAGACAAGGTTTGTCCCATCCAGCACATTTTAGCGGGAAGTGTTCTTCCAAGGCTGAGGATTTCCAGAGTCATTTAAGCTAGATTCTTTATGCTAACGGTCCCCTATTAGCCTTAAAAAATTAATGTGACTCCTAATCACCTAATTTACTATCAAAGAGGGCTCTGGACATTGGGACATTGGAGAGAACAGAGCTCATTAAAAATTAAATTTTTCCAACTTCCTTATATAAACATTTACTTATAAAATATGCCCCAGCATAAAATTTTTAGGGTCCACATAGAGAATAGGTTGGAAATAGAAAAGCCATCATGAAGGTCCACCCTTCTAACTCCTCTCTCTGACTATAATCTCTCCTTGCTCTAGTTCATCTTCCATAGCTTGTAGGTGTCCTGCCCATATCACACCCTTAGTCAAGGCACAGTCTTCTCCCAAACTCTCATGGCTCCATTGACCACAAGATTCAGTTCAAACTTTCTGGCCTAGAACTCTGGGTTCTCTAGACCCGGTTCCAACTTAAATTTTTCAATCGTTTCATCTAATATGCCTTAACACAAACCATGCTTTTCAGCCCGGTGGGACTACTCACTGGCCACAAACCGCCCACATGTTCCACCCTCTGGCCCATCTCCTGGGGAACCATGCCCAGAAATCCTGCCTACCCTCCCTCTGTCTAACTAATCCTAGTTAAAATTCAGGAAGAATTTTAGGTTCTCCCTTCCCTACAATGCTTTTTTTATCTGAACTCCTACAACCCATATTGCCAGTTGGTGCTATCCATAAGATTCTTTATACTATTTGTCAACTGCCAATTGTGTTTTGATTCATCTCCTTAAGTAGCATGCAAGATCTCTGTGTCCCCTCAAATGGCAACTCAGCACCTTGTGGGTTCTATGGGAATACTTACTAATGTACTGAAACCATGAGAACCTCTTAGTTCTCATAATAGCCATTCTTTTGTACCCTAAAATAAGAAGCTATTGCTGAACTCAAGCTCACAACTATACTAACAGTCAGCCCCTGCGTCTCCAGATTCCTCTTCAAAGGTAGGCACTGATGCTTCCTATCTGCCCACTTCCCAAGTCAGCCGGGCCTACAGCTGCCAGTATTGGCAAGAGGCTCACCCTCTGCAACTGTGGGGTATCTCATGAGTCTCAAGCCTGGATTCTCCAAGCTTCCACTTTTCATTGCCCCTAAAATGTCTGCAGTCTTTACAACCGAGTTTTCCCCTGAATCCCAGCATTTTTTGGTTGTAGCCCTGCTCTTGACAGTTCAGTCTTCCTAGGGTATAAACTATGAACCCCACTGTCTATCCATCAGCTAAGGTCATGTGCAAAAAGGAATGGATCACCCAGGACCACGGCACTACCAGCCACACTTGGAGGGCTATCATTGATGTGCTGTGCCCCCACCCCCCAAAATGGACAGCTGGGCTCTGTGCTGGGCATGGAGGCTACTTAAAGAAAAAAAAAATGGTCTCTCCATATTTGTCCTTTGTCATCAGATGAAGTGCTCCTTTTTTGCTGTCTCAGACTGAATGTGTTTGCTCCATACTATATGATCTAGACCACTGACCACACCTCATATAGCTGCCCAAAGACAAGTCCAACAGGCAGATTAACCTCTGCAGCATGCATCCGACCAGATCCTAGCCTTTTAACCTTTCCCAGTGGCATCTCAGAATGCTTCTAATCAAGCCAGTCAGAGCTGTGACCAAAGCTTTTGCAGGCAAATCTCTTCAAGTTTCGCCTACAATTTGGAGAAATATGTAATAACCCACTAGTCTATACATTCCTCTCTCTAGACCATAAGTTCTTTGAGGGCATAGCCATTGTCTCATTCACCTTTCCTTTTTTCTTTCTTTTCTTTTCTGTGTTCTGAGCATCTGGCCATGAGTAGACACTCAAAGATATTTGTTTTATGAATGGATGGGTGCACCCTAAACACAGTATGGCTTCTTCATCATTACCCAAATTCCGGGCTACTTTCCTAATATACAACTTTTTAAAATCTGAGTTCTAAAATGAGGAGGAAAAAAAATCCAATCTGAGACAACTGATTTGCTTTCAGGTTAATCTCCCTAAATGTTTGTGCCTAAGGCTGATGGCAAAACATCTCCATGGCAAGAGGCAGAGGATAACAGAGACAAGAGGGAGAGTCTTCAGAGTGAATGAAGAAAGCGTTGCTATCTTAAGCTGAAGTGCACCACATAAGGTACTATTATCATCTCTTCAATCTTCATTAACATAAGGTTCCAAGTTCTTTCAGGAGTTTCAAGAGTGTTATTAGAAGATTCCATTTGAATATACAAATGTTTACTAAATGTCTGATAGGAAGCAATGAAGTAAGTTTCCAGACATAAGACAAATGACTCTCAAAAAAGGAGCTCTTCATCTGATGACAAAGGACAAATATAAATATATATATATATATATATATATATATATTTTTTTTTTTACATAGCCTCCATTTTTTTTTTTTTGCCCAATGCAGGGCTTGAACTCACACCCCTGAGATCAAGACCTGAGCTGAGATCAAGTGAGGGATGCTTAACCTACTAAGTCACTCAGGCTCCCCCAAATACAAGACTGCCTTCGTCAGAAGGTATGAAGAACCCCCACCTTTGGCTCGTGATTCCCAGGACTCTGAAGGAGTTCTCACTCACCAGTGCAGTACCCCACCAGGTTGAGGAACTGTTCATCTTTACAGCTCGTCCTGCAGCTCCCACCAGCAAGAGTGACATGTGGGTGACAGGAGATGCAGTCGGAGTCTGATGGGCCGTGGCACTGCCTGCAGGTGGGGTGGCATTCTGGGGAGAGAAACGAGAGCCAGGATTCGAATGAGCCACTCACCCTGTGAGCATTAATGCACTCCGCAAATTACAGTAAGAGCAGACTTCAAACACTAATCATCTTTCGAAGATTCCTGAGCAAGCCTGGCATACCGTTGGGCTCGACCAAAAGACGATGTTTCTGCTGTCAATGAAAACACTGTCCATGGAAAGAACATGGAATCTAGAACCATCAAAATTGGAGTGATTGGCTGCACATTCCAGAAGCCCCAGCAGGGCCATTCCAATCTATAGAAGTAAAGAAGTTCATTCAGATCAAGGTCAGAAAGCAGAAGAAAGCTGAAGGAGTGGTAAGACGCCCTCTGTCTTGTTAAAATACCTTGCGTGACTCAAAGAGCTAGATAGGGAGAAGAGGGTGACATTTTGCTTCTCAGAAATTCCTGGCAGGCCAAGGGGAACTGTACACAGCAAGGGACAGCAATACTTCTCACTAGAGGCAGATGCCAGCCGTGCTCTCCCTTCAGGCCACAATTTGGATGCCTCCCATTAGCAGCAACACTTAATTAAAATACAAAAAACCAGAAAGTCCTCTTCCTGGAGGTTATTGTGAGCCAGGATTGAAGTTCAATTCCTTAGACAAAACCATGTCAAAGCCATGTTTTCTCCCAGAGAAAGCATCAAATTACTCATGGGGACTGCCCTGGAAACAACAAGTAAGTCACAGGAGGCGTAGGTGGTAGAGATAAGGGCGAGGAGGAGTAAAAGAAGGCTGCCGCTGTGGCCGCCGTTGATGCTGCCAAGGCCGGCAGCAGGGGATTTTAAGGATTTCTCTGCCAAGGACGAGGAGGTCTAAGCGTGTCTGATTCCAAGCGGAGGGGAGGTAAGGACCGGAGCTGGGCAGCGCTTGCAGGAACTGATGACAAAGAATTCCCTTCTGGCACAGAGCTGGTGGAATGCAGAGGCACAGATTTTGAGTATAGTCAACCGCCTCTCACTTCTTCTGGCAAGAGGCCAAGGGAAGATAAGGCTTTATATATAAAACAAACAAATAAGTAAGGCAAGCAAGTAACAAAGTGAGCTGCTGATTAGAAGGCCAGTGTGAGCTATCATCCCTCCTGCATTCCTGAAGCTCTTAACTTGGAAAACGCCTGTTCTAAAGACACTCGTGTTCTCAGGATGACTTCTACCTCCCATTCTTCCCACCAGATTTCCAGAGACAGGGGTGCCCTGCCAACTTGGGACACTGTCCATCTGTTGGCTTCAGGCCGGCAGAGACAGAGAGAGAGGGGAGTTAGAGCTACTCAGACTTAATCCCCCAACAATTTCCCACACAGAATAGCCAGTGGGACCAGGGAGAGGGCACATGAGGACAGACAACAGTTTTCAAGGACAACCCCAAAGAAAACAGGAACATTCCCACTGAGCCTGATAGAGTATTTAAAGTAGAGTAAACCCATCAAGGGCCTAGAGAGATTAGAAAGGTACTTGGAAAAAGGAAAATTCCAGAATGAATATATAATACTGATCTTCAGTCTAGATTTGCATTTACATAGGATTTCTTCTTTGGAGTTTGAGGCTAGATGAACCTAACAAGTATTAATTGATTTTAAAAATATTTTGTGCACTGGGGCTCCTGGGTGGCTCAATTAAGCATCTGACTCTTGTTTTTGGCTTAGGTCATGATCTCACAGTTGTGAGAGTGAGCCCCATGTCAGGCTCTGGGCTGATAGTGTGGAGTCTGCTTGGAATTCTCTCTCTTTCCCTCTCTATCTGCCCCTCCCTCTCTCACGAGCCTGTGCTCATTCCTCTCTCTCCCTCAAAATAAATAAATAAACATTTAAAAGTGTTCTGTGCACTTATTATATGTTTTCTGACTGCAGAAATACATGTTAAACAATTTCACAACAAGCATGTAAGCAGGCCTCAACAGTCTACTTTTAGAAATAAAATAGTAATCATGATAGAATGTGTTTTGTCTTCTTTTCTTCTGGAGATACAAGAAAACAGTGCTACAATAAGGTGCTTAAATTTTAGTATTTTGTCAATTCCAATAAAACCCAGAACTAATCTCAACAGTAATTTCTAGAATCTCTGTCACTGAAACATAAAGGTGTTGTTAAAAACTTATTGGACCGACACATCAAAGAAAATAAATATCTTGCTCTCTTTTCTGCTCTCTTGGGCTGTAGCCAGAGGAAGTGGGGCTGAGAACTCTAGAGTTATAGCCAAATGCCTGGTCCCACACAACTGCATTAGAACCTGGCCATAGTAGCTTATCTACATGACGAACACCATCAAATCTACCCCTCCTTGTATGCATAGGGCAAAGCTGACTCCAATTTTTCACTCCATCCATACTTCCCTATTAGAAGAACAGAACTTCACTTCTTCCCCTCACTCTATGCCTTTACTCCTAACAAGTTCAAGACAAGGATGTACAACCTAAAGCTAGTGTCCTGGTATGAAAAGGTTTCAATGACAGAGCCTGGTTGCAATACAGGGACAAAACAATGGCATAGGGAACATGCCCCAGCACATTACATACTCACCTGTGCAACCACCTTCCTGGCTAAAATATCCATCTGGGCACTGGGAGAGACACTGCCCATCCAACAGCACTTGGGAAGGCTGACAGGCTGTGCAGTTAAGTGGGCTCTTCCCTGCACACCTGAAACAGGACTGGTAGCAAGCTGGAAGAGAGATAAAGCAGAGGAGGCAATCAAGAAAGCTGCCGTGTGACAAGTGTGGTAGCTCTGTCTTTCCTGTTAACATTCCTGGATTGGAATAAGTTCTGTATATTCACTTAGTTTTTTCCCAAGGACAGGGTACACATCTCACATACTTCTTTCTAAAGGCCATATCCTGCAAAGCAAGCATCTGTGGGACCCAGATTAGGTAAGGCACAAATGCCATGGAACAGAAATAACCATTTGCAGAGTCATACATTTCTCTTCTTCCCAAGTTCCACTCTTAGAGAATGTCAAGTAAAAACGAGGAAGCTGTAAAACAGGTCTCCCTCCCTCAGGACAGTTCCTCCTCCATCATTAAGCAACAGGCTGTTTATCAGGCTGCTCAAATTATAGAGAACAGTGATGGAAGCTTTACTTACCCACTCACAAAAATGCATATGGTGCCTACTTTGATGGAGACTGAACATACACAGGTGAAAAGAACTGTCCAACATTTTTGAGCTGCCCAAACTAGCTGCATCAACAGACGTAACGAGTAAGGAACTGGGCTGCAGTTAATGAGAGGCAAAGTATAGTAGAGAAAGAGCATCACGTCACAACTCTATGTGACCTTGACTAATTTATGTAATTTCTCAAGGATCCTCCTTCCTCATGTATAAAATGAGAATTTAAACTATACATACTACATGGGGCGTTGTGGACATTAATTGAGTTTGATTCATGCAAAGTTATAAGGATAGTGCTAAGTATACAGTAAGGACTTAATACATCTTAACTGTAATTACTGTCATTCAGTGCTATGTTACAAGTATACATAGGTATAAAAAGAAATGGAGAAGCAAAGAACAAAGAAGACATCTCTGCTTGCTTACATCAGACCTTTAAGAATAAAGGGTATCTATAAAGAATTTATCAAACTCAACACCCCCCAAAAAAATAACCCAGGGAAGAAATGGGCAGAAGACATACATAGACACTTTTCCAGAGAAGACTGAAATAAGTCAGTCAGAAAAAGACAAATACCATATGATTTCACTCATATGTGGAATTTAGGAAACAAAACAGATGAACATATGGGAAGGGGAGAGAGGGAAACAAATCATGTGAGACTCTTAAAGATAGAGTACACACTGAGGGTTGATAGAGGGAGGTGGGCTGGGGGATGGGCTAAACGAGTGATGGGCACTTGTGTTGATCACTGGGTGTTACATGTAAGTGATGAATCACTAAATTCTACTCCTGAAAACAGTATTACAGTATATGTTAACTAATTAGAATTTAAATAAAAATTTGAAAAACATCAAAAACCAGAACAACGGTGGACATGTTCTGTGAAAAGAAAAAAAAAAAAGAGAATAAAGTGATATTTGCATCAAGACTCAAGGGTGGCCAGTGTATTAATCATGCCTTTTTACTTTCTGATATTTGACATCTGGGGTCTTGCAAATCCTGAAGAGACTACCCTCCAGGGCTAGCCAATTCCTAGAGATAGTAAATGACTATCCTGGTAGAGTGTATTTCAAATGCTAACTAGCCAGTCCCAAGTCCACACAGCAATCACCTTCCCTAACACTCATACCCCGGGGCCACTATCTCCTTGCCAATTGGAGACAGTCCCTATACCCCAAAGCCCACTGAAATTCAAACTAGCCAATCTGAAACTGCTTACCCTGCCTCACTTGTTCTTTCCCACAGAAGCCACAATAAAGGCTCTTGCTTACATTTTCCCCTCACTCCCTCTGCCTCTTGACCAACCCTGGTGCTTCTGGGTGTGGCCTCTGTCTGTTCCCTCCTCCTGGGAACTGTGAGTAACACATTCTTTTCAATTATCTCCTGATCTGTTGGCTCATCATAACCTGAATAATAATAAAATTCTGTTATGAAAGAGCTAGTCATTCACCTCCAGTCATTCATCTGTTATTGTGTCTCAAATAGGTTTAGGTGCTGGGGATACAATGGTGAGTAAGACAAAACCCTGATTCTTACTCGTGTGGATGACCCCACGCATTTCAGGCCACCCTCTGCCCATCCAGTGGACAAGATCCACAACTGCAGGAACACCATTCTGAGTCTCCTCTTTGGCTTCTTCTGCCCCTTCTATCAAATACCCAGACAGAGACCAGCAGCTTGGAAGAACCAAATGTGATTTTATACCACTGAAGTCTCCATTTCTACTAAACCCTTATAAAAATGCAACATATACTTTTTTAACATTTGTGAGGCTAATATAAGCTAAGATGCTCCTGTCCAGTGGAACTGGTTGTTAAATATTACACTGCTGATACATGGCTGATATATACTGTGTCCTAAACCTTCTAGTGCTCCCTGCAGCTTTGACCCCACCCTGACATCCTGCCCTATCTATAAACAAACACCTAAAAGGTAACACTTCTACCAGGAGGCTTTGGGAACCCTGTTCCTGAGCTAAGGCCAATATCTATTTGGGTTGGGCAGTGCCTTGAGTTACTAGTTAATAAATATTTTGATTCTTTTCTCTGGTTATACTGCAGAGCTTTATACCTATTCAACAGTATTTATTACAGTATGAAAAACAGAGCTAGAGCTCCAATTTTTAAAAGAATTTCCTTTCTTATACTGTTTTGTAAACAACTCTATTAGCACAAGTCACAATAAGAATTTTTTCACAAATATTTTCAAAATTACTCAGAAAATATTGCCTTTTCAAAAAACAAAACAGAAAAAAAGAATAAGTAAGCAAATAATTAAGGAAGGATACACATTAGCCCATTATGCAAGACACTTATAACACAAATGAATGAAACGGCATGTAATCAAAAGTCAGGTGGCAATATTTCAAAAATCAGCTAAATTATACTGTCAACACAAAGCTTTCCAGGATGATTTGGGGAAGCAACATACTTCCACATATTTAAATATACCTACGACAATACCAATATGTTTATATTAGACTTGATAAGATTGCTAAAATCCCTAGATCTTCCTATTACACCTCCCTAATAAATAGGAAATCAAAGCATATCATTGTGGAATTGAAAACTAGGGGACTATGAATTAATGCCTTATGAGCACACACCATATTTTATTTCATTCCATTTGGTCACAAAGACAATGTGATAACCTGGCTCACTATAAATAGAAGTTATTTTTGAATTTATAAAACAGGAAAGCAAAGAGGACAAACACGTTGAAGACTGATGGGCCAAGAATTCCACAAGAAATTCCCTTTGTCACCCACTAGATTTTAGAAATCTAAAAATCACCATGGCCAGCCTCAGAGCTGGGGTCAATGGAAATGTTTAAAAACTAAATGGATAATGAGCCTGTTAGTTGTCGATGGGCACAAAGAGAAAGGGATATACTGGGTGGCCACCTTGTCAAAGCAGTGTTTTCCTCTACAATGCTGTGTTTCTGTACGTACAGGCATTTGCACCTTTAAAACAATCTCACGAAATTTCAATTCTGCACCAGTTTGGGAAATATCTACACTCTTGCAGTGACTTTAATGAGGCTCTATCATTCTTTGGAAGCTGCTTTCATAGCAGGAGTTCTGGTGTGAAGCCTAAGATCTGTCAAGGAAGACTAACTCCATTACAGGGCATATATGGAAAAGATTTGAAAGAAGTTCTATGAATAATTTCCCCACATAATACTACATTTTTAGAGAGTGACTTTCTAGTTGATGGCTAAGTATATTTCTAAAAAAGCATAACTGAGCAGCTTAAACACTAAAAATGTTGGCATTAAAACTGTCCTTAGATGATTGTAAAGTCCACTCGACCAGACCCCAGGAAAAATATTACCTAAAACAATTAAAACATATCAATTTTTGTTCTGTTCTATTCTACTCTCTTATTCTATTCTACCCTATCCCCTATTTAAATTTCAAACAACAAACATACTACTTTTTTATTTTCAATGATATAAAAAGTGATCCAGCATCCCCACTCTCATATTATATAAAATTTCTTGGCTTTTTATGTCAAAAACAATTTTTAAGGTAGATTTCTCTTGAATTATGATGTAAATATCAAAAATCCTCTAGGAAATACAGTAGGAGTCCTGTGATAAGGGATGAAAATTGAAATGAATTAAGTCAAATAAAATCAATCTCCCCCTTTCCCTCACCCTCCTTTTCCTTCTTTTTCTTTCTTTTTTCCTTTTTTTAAATGAGCTGAATTAACTTCTCTCTCTATCACCTCCTCCCCCACTAGATTAAGAACAACTTAAGAGTCAACATCACATCTTTTCCATCTCTATGATTCCTGGAGTACTGATCACCATCCCTGTCTCTGGCATGTCGAAAGTTCCCAATCAATGATTCCTGCGGATTGAATGCGTGGGAAGGTAGGTGAGCCAGTGGGTGGATAATCGGTGGATGCAAACACTGGAAACACATTCTTCTAGTTCTCCTATCTCTCTGATCATTTCCTTCCAGCCTTTCTCTGTTTATGTCAGGAATATTGGAGCTTCCCAAATTGGCACCCTCTGCCCTTCTTCTCACTCTAGGAAAACTTATCCATAGCTTTAATGATGACCTCCATGCTGGTGAGTCTCAAATTTATGTCTACAGCTCTGGCCTTTACTCTGAACTCCAATTATGTAAATCTAGCTGCCTAGGAGATATCTCTAACTTGGTGCTTCATTGGTATCTCATACTCCTCATTTCCAAAATGCTACTCATCATCTACTTCCAAGCTCAGCCTATATGGACTTAATGCAAATAATAGCATCACATTTCTTCTGCCCAAAATTGCACCCTTTATCCACCCTAATTCTACAACCAACCCACCACATTGCCTTTCTTTTTTACTCCCTGCCTCACTTGGTAGTCCCACCATTCACCAAGACATACATGCTGAAAACCTTAGACTTTTACTTTTCCATCACCACAACCCATCCAAGACATGTTGTTTTACTCCTTAAACCAAACCTCTGCCAAATCTATCCCAATTTAACCATCCCATGGCCCTTTGGTGCAGACCTTCAGTATCACTCATGATGTGGATTAGTGCAGCAGC